CACTCCCTCCCACCCCCTCCCGAAGGCCCCTTCTCCTTCGGGCCCCTCAGTTTACCCCAAGTGAAGCCCACTTGAAGATCTACGAATCGGTGCTTACTACTCCTCTTGGGGCTCCTGAAGCCCCTGAACCAGAGCCGCCTCCTGCTGATGACTCTCCAGCTGAGCCTGAGCCACGGGCAGTGGGTCGCACCAATCACCTCAGCCTGCCTCGATTTGCCCCTGTGATCACCTCTCCCATTAAGGCCGAGGTGCGCCCTCATGGGGCTCCAGCTCTGAGCAATGGGCAGCAGTGTCAGGCTCAGCCACAGCAGCCCCTACAGGCTTTGCAAACCCAGCTACTGCCCCAGGCACTACCACCACAGCAACCACAACTAGAGCCGCAATTACAGCTGCAGATACCACCGTCACCACAGCAGACACCACCACTGGAAAAGGCCCGGATTGCAGGCCTGGGTTCTTTACCACTGTCTGGGGTAGAGGAGAAAATGTTTAGTCTCCTCAAGAGAGCCAAAGTGCAGCTATTCAAGATTGACCAGCAGCAGCAGCAGAAGGTGGCATCTTCGATGCCGGTGAGCATCGTGCTTTAGGTGTCTACACCCAAACCATCCAGCCTCTATTCTCTGCAATCCCTTAACCTCCTGCCTCCCTAGACACTATCCCGCATTGCAAGGAACCCTCAGAACCAGTCCTTCACTTATTCCCTAGATTCCTGTCTTCCTTCCCTGGCCCCGTACCTTCCCTGTGCTATTCCCCAGCCCCATTTTTTCTCACTTTCCAGCCCCTGACCCTGTTTATTCCCCTACCAGCCAAGTCCTGGAGGGCAAATGGAAGAGGTCGTGGGGACTGTCAAGCAGATCTCAGACAGAGGTTCTGTCAGGTCTGAAGATGAATCGATGGAAGCTAAGAGAGAGAGACCCTCGGTATGCAGTGGGAAGAAGACCCTCTGAAGAAGGCTGGTTGGAGGAGCAGGGCTGCAGAGCACAAGGAACAACCTCCCACATGTATTCCTGGTGTCTTCTTCCTCAGGGCCCTGAGTCCCCTGTGCAAGGCCCCCGCATCAAACACGTTTGTCGTCATGCTGCTGTGGCCCTGGGTCAGGCCCGGGCCATGGTGCCCGAAGATGTCCCCCGCCTCAGTGCCCTTCCTCTCCGAGATCGGCAGGACCTCACCACAGAGGGTAGGAGGGCTGTGTTGTTGGGAGACTTGACAGCCATGTCAGGTTTGGGGGTGAGCAAGTGCACCAAGAACCTAAGAGAGGGAGCTGAGTCAGCTGCTTGGAGCTAAGTGGCAAGTGTGGTGGAGTGCTAGGTCTTAGACAAAGCAAGTTGGTTTGGTGGCACCTGGAATCTATCACTGTTGGAAAGTGGGGACCAGAGGGCTGATTGAATGGGATCTGAGGAAGAACAGGGAAATGAAGTAGAATGCCTGGTGGCTTTCTGGTTCCATCCCCTCCTTTCTGTCTGCTGCAATAGATACGTCATCAGCATCTGAAACTGAGAGTGTCCCATCACGGTCCCAGCGGGGAAAGGTGGAGTCAGCAGGCCCTGGAGGAGACTTGGAGCCTGCAGGGTCTGGAGGGACGCTGACCCACACTCCCCGACGCTCGCTGCCCTCCCACCATGGCAAGAAGATGCGGATGGCTCGGTGTGGACACTGTCGGGGCTGCCTACGTGTGCAGGACTGTGGGTCCTGTGTCAACTGCCTGGACAAGCCCAAGTTTGGGGGCCCCAACACCAAGAAGCAGTGCTGTGTGTGAGTAGCTAGGGTGTATTCTCCATTCCCACCCATGGTTGTCAGTCACTCAGACCACCTGCCCCAGCTCCTCCTCTGCCCAGCCAGATCAGTGGGATTGGCATCCTTGTGGAGAGCTTCCCTCTCTTCCCCCAGACCACCAGTCCCCTACCCTGGTGACGTGCTGCTCCCCTCCCCAGATACCGGAGGTGTGACAAGATAGAGGCTCGGAAGATGGAAAGGCTGGCTAAAAAAGGTAATGAGGTCTGAGGACCATTTCTTCACAAAACTTTATTTAGATTTGTGGTATGGAGGAAACGATGTTTTCTTTGCTGTCCCCCCTTATCCTTGCAGTTCACCACCTTTGTCTTCCTTTTCCATTGTGTGCTTTCATTTCTCTTCTGTATTCATAGTCTTCTGTCCCACTTTCTGACTTTTCTCTATCCCAATGTCCCACGTACCTGGCTGCACTCAGATTCTACTAAGTCCCCTGTTCCCACAGGCCGGACGATAGTGAAGACGCTGTTGCCCTGGGATTCCGATGAATCTCCTGAGGCCTCCCCTGGTCCTCCAGGCCCACGCCGGGGGGCGGGAGCTGGGGGGCCCCGGGAGGAGGTGGTGGCCCCCCCAGGGCCCGAGGAGCAGGACTCCCTCCTACTGCAGCGCAAGTCAGCCCGGCGCTGCGTCAAACAGCGACCCTCCTATGATATCTTCGAGGACTCGGATGACTCGGAACCTGGGGGTCCCCCTGCTCCCCGACGTCGGACCCCCCGAGAAAATGGTGCGAACCTCTTGATGCTTTTTCTATCAAGCAATCAGTCTTGTGTCTTTTGTGTGGAAGGGACAGGGCTCCCAGACCCAGGGTTCTCTCAGTCTGACAGAGAAGGTGGCTGAGGGCAGAGGAGGCAGTTTTAGGTAGATGTGCAGAACTGGTATGTGAAGTTCTTAGCTTGATGAACAAGATGTGAGTCGTCTAGTGGGTCCTGGTTAATTAAAGAAGGTCCTGGGAATCCAGGTAACATTTTGGGGTTGTAGAAGAATGGGGAAATGGGGCATGGAAGGAGAGAGACCTCACTGCTCACGTGTCCTGCCTAGAGCTGCCGGTGCCAGAACCTGAGGAGCAGAGCCGGCCCCGCAAACCAACCCTGCAGCCTGTGTTGCAGCTCAAGGCCCGAAAGCGCCTGGACAAGGTCAGCACGGCCTGCTCCGAGAACCCCGATCCCTGTGTAAGGCATGGCTCCTGCCCTCCAGGAGCTACCTGGCAAGTCAGGGTGATAGGCACACCTGAATGTTGTGCTGTGTTCATACTAGAGGACAGGCCCTGAGGGCTGAAGCAGGCCTGGCCTATCTGGAAAACAGAGTGGGGTCTGGGCAAAAGGCAGGTCCAGCAGGCTGGGGGAAAGAACAGTGAGGAGAGGAATCTGCATAGAAAGTGGGGCTGGCAGCCTTCTGACCACCACTACCATTCCTCCCTAGGATGCTTTGGCTCCTGGCCCCTTTGCTGCTTTTCCCAATGGCTGGACTGGGAAACAGAAGTCCCCTGATGGTGTGCACCGAGTCCGTGTGGATTTTAAGGTATGACATAGATGGGGGCAGGTTGCAGGGCTTGTGGTTGGAAGAAATTGATTGATCATGTTAGAGAACCCAGGGCTGTGAGGATGGATCTGACTTGTGTTCTTGGCTGCTCTTAGATCCTGTACCCTCTCTTCTCATAGGAGGATTGTGATCTAGAGAACGTGTGGCTGATGGGTGGCCTGAGCGTGCTCACTTCCGTGCCAGGGGGGCCACCGATGGTGTGCTTGCTGTGTGCCAGCAAAGGACTGCATGAGGTTGGATCTCTGCCCTTTTTCACAGACCCCCCCAAGTCTTCATTGGCCCTTACTGCCTGATTTCTTGGGCCCTCTTATCCAAGTCTCATCCCCTGACCCTCTGGCCTCACGCTGTGCCCATTATTCACTCTCCTCCATCCCTACCCCCAGCTGGTGTTCTGCCAAGTCTGCTGTGACCCTTTCCACCCATTCTGCCTGGAGGAGGCTGAGCGGCCCTTGCCCCAGCATCATGATACCTGGTGCTGCCGCCGCTGCAAATTCTGCCATGTCTGTGGACGCAAAGGCCGGGGATCCAAGGTTTGGGCACTGGGCCAGCCTAAGCTAAGTGGAAGTATGGAGGAAGGGGTATCCCTTTGCCAGTAGGTTTTGCCATTGCTGTCTTTCTCCAACATCCGACAGCACCTCCTGGAGTGTGAGCGCTGCCGCCATGCTTACCACCCTGCCTGCCTGGGGCCCAGCTACCCAACCCGGGCCACACGTAAACGGCGCCACTGGGTGAGAGATGTTGCCCACACCCTTTGCTGTTCTAATTAATAACATCACCACCCCCAGACTTGCTGTAGGCCAGTGCTCTCATGAGGAGGGGTGGATTGGGGACCCTTTTGAGAATTTGATAAATGATGTTTCTTATTCAAAAATTTCACATAGATAGGGTTTATTTTTATTTTTATTTTTTTTATTATTTTTTGTCCTTTTTGGGGCCCGGCCGCACGGCGCTCAGCCAGTGAGCGCTGTGAGCGCACCGGTCATCCCTACATTGGGTCCGAACCCCCAGGGGGAGCGCCGCTGCGTTCCCCGCGCTGCACTCTCCCGCGTGTGCCACGGGCTCGGCCCATAGATAGGGTTTATTTTTATTTTTTTTATTTTTTTTTGTCCTTTTTTGAGACCGGCCGCACGGCGCTCAGCCAGTGAGTGCTGTGAGCACACCGGTCATCCCTACATAGGATCCGAACCCGCAGTGGGAGCGCCGCTGCGTTCCCCGCGCTGCACTCTCCCGAGTGTGCCACGGGCTCGGCCCATAGATAGGGTTTAAATGTAGAGTTTGTATGTAATGGTTTTAGGTGCTTGTGGATTCCTATTCCCAGGGTCAGAATCCTCTGCTCCTGCCCCTCACCACTTCCTCTCTCTTCTTTCTCCTTGTCTCTCTTACACATCTTTTCTTCTCTCACCTGCCCTTCCTCAGCTGTTTCCTGCATACCCTCAGCTCCTCCTTGCCCATCTCTTCCTTCATGTTGCTCCACACTGGTATCTGGCTTTTCTCTAACATCGCACTTTTCCCCCAGATCTGTTCAGCCTGTGTGCGCTGTAAGAGCTGTGGGGCAACTCCAGGCAAGAACTGGGACGTCGAGTGGTCTGGAGATTACAGCCTCTGCCCCAGGTGCACCCACCTCTTTGAGAAAGGTGGGGACCTGGCAGGGGAACTGGGCCCTGGGGGGCCATAGGGGAATGGGCCAGGCTCCTAGACAGGCAGCTAGAACACACACTCTTCTCATGGCTTTCCACCTTCTAGCCACGGAAGTTTGTCTTCAGGATATTCTTCCACAGGTGTTTATCCAGTATGTAAAATAGAGGGACACAGAATTCCTTCCAAGGGCAGTGAGAGTAAAGGGAATGGGACTCAGCCTTTTTGGCCTGTGAGTTCCCTCTTGGAACCTCAAGTCTCCACTGCACAATTTAAAAACCTGGGCTTTCTTCATTTATTCAGGCAGCACATTTAGCAAGGTCTTGCTTTTTGTGAGACATTGGGGCTGTAGACTTAGAAAAGAGAGTATCTCTCCAACCAGCTTTTTGGAGTTGGTAGGGACCCAAGACAAGGGCATAATGGAGATGGACCATGTAGCAGTCAGGGTATGGTTGGCCCCTGAACAGTTACTCTGAAGGGTAGATAGTAATTCCATCCTCTCTGACTCTCCCTCCTCTTCCTTTTTCCTCCAGGAAACTACTGTCCGATTTGCACACGCTGCTATGAAGACAATGACTATGAGAGCAAGATGATGCAGTGTGCACAGTGTGACCACTGGGTGCATGCCAAGTGCGAGGGTCTCTCAGGTGAGTAGATGGAGCAGCCGGGGTGTGGCTTCATCCCTGAAGGAATCCCTACGCCCCTCACAGGCCCGCAGAGGACAGGTGGGCTAAATGTCCTTGGCCTAGGGGCTTCTGAGAGCCCTGACATCCTCCCAAACCATTTTCTCCTTTCCCGCTTGGGCTATTCTAGATGAAGACTACGAGATCCTTTCGGGACTGCCAGACTCGGTGCTGTACACCTGTGGACCATGTGCTGGGGCCACACAGCCCCGCTGGCGAGAGGCCCTGAGTGGGGCCCTTCAGGGGGGCCTGCGCCAGGTGCTTCAGGGCCTACTGAGCTCCAAGGTGGCAGGCCCACTGCTGCTGTGCACCCAGGTCTGGAGGGCCCAGGAGGCAGGATAGGGTGGGGCCAGGCCCAGCACTAGCCCTGCTGACTTCCACCCTTTGCAGTGTGGGCAGGATGGGAAGCAGCTGCACCCAGGACCCTGTGATCTGCAAGCTGTGAGTCAGCACTTCGAGGAAGGCTACTACAAGTCCGTGGTGAGTGGGACACTGGGAGAAGCAGGTGGGTGCCAGGAGGAGAGGGCTGTGGTTGAGGCTAGGGTTAATATCCTGACAAACCCCCTTATAGCACAGCTTTATGGAGGATGTAGTGGGCATCCTGATGAGGCACTCAGAAGAAGGTGAGACTGCAGAGCGCCGGGCTGGAGGCCAGATGAAGGGGCTCCTACTGAAGGTAAGCTCTTTGGGGGATGCCTGTAGGGTGGTTTGAGTGGTAGTGGCGGGGAGAGAGTGGGTCCTTCAGACCCTGCCCCCGCCAACTCTTCTGGGGAAGCCAGTTCTTCTCATCCTGTTAACCCACTCCCCAGCTGCTAGAGTCTGCGTTCGGCTGGTTCGACGCCCACGACCCCAAGTACTGGCGACGGAGTACCCGGCTGCCAAAGTGAGCAAGGCTGGGTAGCAGGAGGGGAACCAGGGAGTGAGGGCAAAAGCAAAGGCACCTGGGAATCCAGGAGTCAGGGTGGGCTGAGAATACTTGAAGAGCAGAGTTAAGGTCTGGAGGCTAAAGAGGAGGGTAGCAGAACCAGGATGAGATTTCCCAGTGGTTCTAGACTAGCAAAGCTTTGTTTCTACTTTGTGCAAGGCAGTGTTGGGGACAGAGCAGTGAGCAAGTAAGATTAGACTTTGCTTAAAGAGCTCATGTTTGTGGAGCTGGGCAGACACTGAGGACTCAGATGGTCAGGGAGGTGATGGGGGAACGCAAAGGAAGCACCTGCTGGAGTCCAGGGATCAGAGAAGACTTCCTGAAAGAGGTGACATCTGAGCTGAGATGTGGAAGAAGGTTATACCAGGCATGAAGAACAGCATTTTATATGTCAGAGGTAGCACAAGAGGGCTTGTCTTGTTTGAGGGATTGAGAGAAATTCCATGTGGAGAGAGGCTTACGAAGGGTGTTGTGGCATGTTTAGTCTGGTGTCGTGGGGAGGCCCCAGTCCAACTGCCCTTATTAGACATGTCAGATGCTGACCCTGCCTGTCCACAGCGGAGTCCTTCCCAATGCGGTATTGCCCCCATCCCTGGACCATGTCTATGCTCAGTGGAGACAGCAGGAACCGGAGACCCCAGAATCAGGACAGCCTCCAGGGGATCCTTCAACAGGTACTAGAAAGTGGGGGAGGCTTCTCACTCCTAAGTTGGTGGGCCAGGCTTCAGATCCTGATTCCTGGACCGCTCTTCCACATTTTTCCCAGCTTTCCAGGGCAAGGATCCAGCTGCTTTCTCACACCTGGAGGACCCCCGTCAGTGTGCACTCTGCCTCAAATATGGGGATGCGGACTCTAAGGTGAGGGTTGCTGTGTGAAGCCCCAGATAATGGGGCCTGGTCCCAGATCTCCCCATCACACCACTCTTCTTCTGCCCCCAGGAGGCAGGGCGGCTCCTGTACATCGGGCAGAATGAGTGGACACATGTCAATTGTGCCATTTGGTCAGCTGAAGTGTTTGAGGAGAATGATGGCTCCCTCAAGAATGTGCATGCTGCTGTGGCTCGAGGGAGGCAGATGGTGAGGGCATGGGCCTGGAGAGGTGGGCAGCCCTCAGGGTCTCAGGTAGGGCCCCTTCTCCAGTGGAGACAGCTCTTAATCTTGTTCTCTACCGGCGCATGTCCTTTCACTTCTGGTCCTAGGTATCTGCAGCTTTTTTCCTATTTGTGACTTCTGGCCGTATTCTGGGCCTGAAGCTTGGGGGACTAAAAGAAGACCTGTTGATTGAACTTGTGCTAGATGCTTCCTGTACAGTGTGGCATTTAGCTCTTACTATGTCCCCGTGAGGTGAAGTGTTGCCTGGGTTAGAATTCCCCCACTCAGCAGTGTGGGACCTGGGCCAGGTACTGGAGAATGTGTCAGGCACTCCATAAAGAGTTAGTGTGATAGAGATATCTACTGTAGGGGGCAGCTATGGGGATTAAATAGGATAAAACAGGTTCCACATTGGAATGGTGTGAGAACAATGGTAGGTGTCATTCTGTAAGTGTTAGCTGTTATCCTTTTCCCTACTAAAGCACTTTCCTGCAAAAAATCTGAAATAGTTTTGATGTGTGATGTTTGCTGTGTGAGGCACTGGACTAGACAAGGGCCTAAGCAGTGTCCCAGAGACAGTGATGCTGAGCATCAGACCCTGGCCCTGGTCACTGGCTTCTCCCCTTAGCATTCCCTCCTACCCACAGCGCTGTGAGCTCTGCCTGAAGCCTGGAGCCACGGTGGGCTGCTGCCTTTCCTCCTGCCTCAGCAACTTCCACTTCATGTGTGCCCGGGCCAGCTACTGCATCTTCCAGGATGACAAGAAAGTTTTCTGCCAGAAACACACAGACCTCCTGGATGGCAAGGTGGGCCAGAACTGTGGGGGAGACAGCTTCCCATTGCTTTCTCCTCTCATTCTATTCAGCAAACCCCATGGCCACTCAGGCCTGGCCCCTGCTGCCTCTCAGTGTCTCCTCCTTGTATGTTCTCCCAGAGTCTTTTAGGCCAAGCCTCTGACTGTTCAGACCTTGCCTATAGAGCTTTTCCCTGCATCCCCCTCACCCCCCACCAAACCAGCAACTCCCCTTCGCCACCTACCTACCAGGAGATCGTGACTCCTGACGGTTTTGATGTTCTCCGCCGAGTCTATGTGGACTTTGAGGGCATCAACTTCAAGCGAAAGTTCTTGACAGGCCTTGAACCTGATGCTATCAATGTGCTCATTGGTAAGCCACTTGCTCTCTACCCTGGTCTTCCTGACCCTTCCTGGCCTGCCCCTTCTGACCTCTTCTTTGCACCATAGGCTCCATCCGAATTGACTCCTTGGGTACTCTATCTGATCTCTCTGACTGTGAGGGACGGCTCTTCCCAATTGGCTACCAGTAAGCAGTCCAGGGGTGATCAGTGGGACTGGGGGAGCTCCAGGGCTGGATCCTGTTTCTCAAGTTGTCCTAATCCTCTTGTCTCACACGTCTCCTCGCCAGGTGTTCCCGCCTGTACTGGAGCACGGTGGATGCTCGGAGGCGCTGCTGGTATCGGTGCCGAATTCTGGAGTATCGGCCATGGGGGCCGAGGGAAGAGCCGGTTCATCTAGAAGCAGCAGAGGAGAACCAGACCATTGTGCACAGCCCTGCCCCTTCCTTAGGTACGGCCTTGGTACTACCTCATTTTCTTCCCTGAATGCAGCCCTCCCTGAACAATTACCAATCAATCCCCATTGCTCTCTCCTCTCAAGAAACTTCAGGATGCCTGCTTTTCTTTCACTTGTTGTAATGACAGTAATAGATAACTTATGGGCTGTGTGTGATGTGCCAGGGGCTGTGCTCAGCATTTCACAGGAAGTGAGAAGGGGAGAGCACCATGCTTCCTGCTTGAGGAGGGTGGTGATCTTGTAGACAACTGTAGGGAGCAGCGTGTTTACAGCTCCTTGACTTGGGTCTCCATGTTCATGTAGTGCTTCTCCAGCCCTCTGAGGAAGGTACAAATTGTACTGCGCCTTGTTGGGGGGCAGTTGCTTTTCACAGTAACATAGTGGTGGAGCCAAGGTTTGAACCTGGATCTGCTCGGTTCCCAAACTGGCACTCTTACAGCCATACTGGCAGTAAGGGATGTAGCTGAGACCTGGATGGCACAAAGCAGAGAATAGGCTTGGAGATTAGTAATGGTAGAGGTTGTCATGGGCCGAATGAGAGGAGGAAAAGATTTGGATTGTGTTTGTGGGTAAGGGCTTTTTTCCAGGTTGGAGCATGCCGTGAAGTGGAGAAGAGAGGAAGGTACACCCATCCTCGCTGGAAACAAGGCAGTGTTGGGAGGAGGAGGGAGAGATCAGCTTGCAAAGATTGGGTGGAGGCAGGTAGTGGAGAGCCTCAAGTGCCAAAATGGGGCAGGTACATTGTGATGTGGCAGAGATGCCCAGAGCAGGTAAGAAAGTGGTAGAACTGGCCATGCTGGAGAGAGGGCATTGCCCCTCATGACATGCAGGGCCTGGATCAGAGAGCGGTAGGCAGCCAGGAAGTGAGGAGATGGCAGAGGATGGGTGAGGAGAGATCATGACGGGACCCTGACCCACCTGTGTGTAGAGGTTTTGTAGATGCCACGGGCGGGGTTGGGGGCATCGGTGATGAATGAAACCAGTGTGTGTCGTGACCAGGTCAGGGGCCTAGAAGGCACAGATGGCTTAAAAGGAGGGAGGGCATATAGTAAGAGGCTTTAATGAAGAGGCCCTACCACCCCTGATGCAGTTCTCTCGCCTTTTTAGAGCCCTTAGATCATGAGGACCCCCCACCAGATACAGATGCCCTTATCCCTGGAGCTCCTGAGCACCACTCACCTGTTCAGAACCTGGACCCCCCTCTTCGGCCAGATTCAAGCAGCGCCCCTCCTCTGGCCCCCCGCTCCTTCTCAGGGGCTCGAATCAAAGTGCCCAACTACTCGCCATCCCGGAGGCCCTTGGGGGGTGTCTCCTTTGGCCCCCTGCCCTCCCCTGGTGAGCACCTGGGGAGTGTCCAAGGGAGAGCGGAGCAGGGGAGGCTGGAGCTGCTGGCTAACACTGACCTTTTTCCCACAGGAAGTCCCTCTTCTTTGACCCACCACATCCCCACAGTGGGAGACCTGGACTTCCCAGCTCCCCCCAGACGTTCCCGTCGTCCCAGCCCCCTGACCCCCAGGCCACCACTATCACGGCGGGCCTCTCCTCCTCTCAGAACCTCCCCTCAGCTCAGGTTGCCCCCTCCTACCTCAGCCGTTACAGCCCTCACACCTACCTCAGGGGAGCTGGCTCCCCCTGGCTCAGCCCCATCTCCTCCACCACCCCCTGAAGACCTGGGCCCAGACTTTGAGGACATGGAGGTGGTGTCAGGACTGAGTGCTGCTGACCTGGACTTTGCGGCCAGCCTGCTGGGGACTGAGCCCTTCCAGGAAGAGATTGTGGCTGCGGGGGCAGTGGGGAGCAGCCTTGGGGGCCCAGGGGACAGCTCAGAGGAGGAGGCCAGCCCTACCACCCGCTATGTCCACTTCCCTGTGACTGTGGTGTCTGGCCCTCCCCTGGCTCCTGGCGCCCTCCCTGGAGCCCCCCGCATCGAACAGCTGGATGGAGTGGATGATGGAACAGACAGTGAGGCTGAGGCAGTTCAGCAGCCTCGGGGCCAGGGGACTCCTCCTTCAGGACCAGGAGTGGGCCGAGCTGGGGTCCTTGGGGCTGCAGGGGACAGGGCCCGACCTCCTGAGGACCTGCCATCGGAAATTGTGGATTTTGTGTTGAAGAACCTAGGGGGATCTGGGGAGGGAGGTTCTGGTCCCAGAGAGGAGTCACTTCCTCTGGCACCTCCCCTGGCCAATGGCAGCCAGCAGCCCCCCCAGGGCCTGCCCCCTAGCCCAGCTGACCCCACCCGGACATTTGCCTGGCTCCCTGGAGCCCCAGGGGTCCGGGTGTTGAGCCTGGGCCCCACCCCTGAGCCCCCCAAACCTGCTACATCCAAAATCATTCTTGTCAACAAGCTGGGCCAAGTATTTGTAAAGATGGCTGGGGAGAGTGAACCTGTCCCACCCCCAGTGAAGCAGCCACCTCTGCCACCTACCATTCCCCCCACAGCCCCTACCTCCTGGACTCTGTCCCCAGGACCCCTGCTTGGTGTGTTACCAGTGGTAGGGGTTGGTGTGGTCCGCCCTGCCCCACCCCCACCACCCCCTCCACTGACACTGGTGTTGA